ACATTATCAAATTGATCTGGCCCATAAAAGTTAGTATTTTATGGCACCATTTCAATCATCACGTATTAGCCCTGTGTCGACAGACGAAAGTGAACGATATCGTCCACCTGGCCTAGTGTTAACCGCGCTTTAACATCCCCTCATTCGCCTTTTTAATCTTCTGAGAATTCCTTTGTTTTGTATGTTCGATGTGACGTACAAGTTGTCATATTCTACGTCAGCAACTGAGGCAAGTATGGTTGTATATCGCAAGTCTCGCGTTCTACCTCATGCTCATCAATTGAACAATCGAAACTCAATGATCTGACTTATTGGTTTGTGTTGATCGCCCTTCAGACTTCATGCACAATCCTCAGTTCATCTATCCAGAGATTCACGTGGGAATACCACCGGACTCAAGTCTTGTTCTTTTTAGAGCACCGACAACTGTTTTCTGTCATTCATAATTCTGCCTAGGTGAATCGTATGGAGGCCCGGGAGGATAGGGGAACTTTTGTATAGTACTAGCTATCAGTTCGGAAGAACGGTTATGGGCGACATGCATCGACAGGAGTGAATGGGCGTGGTTAATTAGTTACTGTAACCTTTCTTCACTCGCGTTAACTGTCACGTTGTATTCTGTCAAATCCTCTGTACTAGACCAATACAGTCAGAGTATGTATACCTTTCGTTTTTAATGAATACACAATTGAATACATTTTCTGGTACTTTGTCCTGTATGTAAATTTATACCATCATGTGGGATTCAGACTATGCATATCAGTTTCATTGTCTCCATTGTGGTGCCCTTTTTTTCATCAGTTCTTTTTGTTCTCCGTTGGTTTCTCTGTCTTCTCATTCACTTTTCAGTAAAGGTTCAGAAATTAAAGATCCATGTGAAGATCCCGTGGTGTTGACACGCTATTTGTCTCCCACACAAGTGAACAATTCCGCGCATCCGGCTGTGATCACTCACGAGTCGAAACGGTTACGATTATTGGAAAGACGTGTCAATCAGCTGGAACAGGACAACCTCGCACGTCAACAATGGGACAAAATTGGCCTGATGCTAACCGGAGTTTATTTTGCCTATCGGGTATTGCATTGGATTGCAACACATTTATAAAAGCAGACCGTTATATTGTCTTAGTTTTGTCCCACCAGCCCGTTATCCCACCTTTCCACCTACTCAGCGACTTCTTATTGCCACGCAACCTCCTCTATGTGTGTTTGATCTGTGAACAATGAATTGTTTGTTTTCCTATGATTTTCACCATGGATTCCGCCGTGTACCTCCTGACTGACCTCACCGATGTACAGTACTTGCTAATGCCTATCCGTTTGATCATCGGTCCATCTATCCAGTCTGTCACAATGTACAAGCGAAATGACAAATCTTCGCTACTTGATTGCTCACATATGTCCATTTCCTCTCTCGGTTTATCCCATCTGTTGAGAGCATTGTGATACTCTCACTGTCTGGTCGCATTTTACTTCATTGACTGTAAATTATTCGCGCACACTCTGATCGTAGCATAATCAGTAAATTAGTTGCCTAACCTAGTTAGTTTTCATTTTTTTTTCTTCATCTCTTTTTGTGTGAGTGGGTGTATGCCCTGGCACGAAGTCATTTATATTTCTTTCATCCGCCTTTGGGCGTTGTCGCGTAATGTCAAGGTTGAGCTTATCGGTAGCAATCTGTGTCAGATAGAAGCCAAGCTCCTTGGTGGTCAATTCGTTTGTTCCACCGCTATTACAGCGGTCTGAGTTTCGGATAGCTAATGGTTACTGGAAAATCGTAATTTATGAATTCTGTACGTTTTCTGTTTGAAAGATAGACAACTGCTCATTGATTCTTTATCTCTTCGGACGGGTGTGTGAACCTGATTGAATTAGTACACTTTATGCCACTGTTATACATCAACCGGAACCGTCGTGATGTATCTCGGACAATCGCGGAAATAACCATTTTCTCCAACAGAGACGTGACACCATCTGCCAATCATTTCCCTTAATGTGCGTTAATTAAAAAAGCCTAATCGTCCTAATTTCTGGTTGAAAAAACTTGTAATCGATCTGATCTATTCGGTAACCGTATTGCTGATGTCACTGGATCATTGGGTACTCCATAAACCCAGTGCTGAAAGTTTGATTCACGGTCAAAAGTAATTTTAAGATATCCTGGTGTTAGTCACAGACTCAAAGAGGTGATCAGCCGGTAGTGAGAAGAATCATATTTGTTCGTTTACCACGTGGAAAGCAAAGCTGGTGCCACTGATTCAATAAGGTCAGGAATGAATTCAAACTACGCTTCTGTAGCTTTGGGTAATACTAAGCGCATTTCAACCCCGCGGTAGCTCGAACTTTCAAGGGCGTTCTGTAGAACTCCTCATCAGCGATTCTCTTCAGGAATGCAGTCACAAATAGGAGAGCTACATCGTGAAGATATTGGATCAGAAATGGGCATACTACGCACAATCAGATTTAGCTGTCAGTGGTGGACGTATCTCACGTTGAATTCTATAATTCTACCGAGTTTCTGATTAACCTAATTAAAAATTTCGTCCGGTGAATATAGTTCAGTTCCGTTGGGCATGGAGAGTGTACGTAAACTGTTTATTGCTTGACGGATTAATTGTGTCTGTATTTTTGCTGTAATATAGTTCGATTTCGTGTTTACCCTGTTTCTATTCCTATGTGCACTACATTCTGGGTCGATTCTTGCTCGGATTGGTGCTAGTTCGAATTCAGATCTGTAGGCTTCGCTGTCCAGGATAAGTAGTGTATACCCGGTTGTCGTATACCACACCGCGCTTTATTCGCGGTACTTATTTCGAACTGTCAGAAACAGTGGAGTTCATCGGATGACGTGAGGACGAGGCATAAAGAGACGGTAACCGGCTCATAATGTTTGTAATGCTCTTGTCACCAGCAATCCAACCGTGTGTTGATCGCACTCCTGCTATGTATGGTCGAAATTCACTACGTACGCTTAAGATCAGCGGCTGTGAACAATGTGTGGGTCCTGGTTTGGGTCAGCTGGTCAAATATCACGTCCCTCATTGCAGCTGAACCGATCGATCGTGTGATTTTCGGACCATTATAAGAGGGGGATAGGCTAGGTATCCCGTGCTGCTTAGGTGTTGGTGGAAAGTCTCCATTTATTTTATTTTGTTCAGATCAGCTTGCACAGAACACTGTGTGGCCCGGGCCAGTCGTGCGTTTAGATACTTGTGTTGTCGACCTTGTGGCTTGCAACACTGTGAGTTAATGTTTTGTCTGAACGGCATAAAGTAAGGTGAAGTATCACGTCCTAGGCAAGACGTATAGATGTTTACTTTCAATCTGTCTCAGTTAATACAGAAGCGCAATAATCATCCAAGGCCATTTTGAGGGCTATTACTTCTGAAAAACTTCCTACCTCCTCAGGTGGATTGTTTTAATATGGATTTACGCAAATTGTCACTTGACCCGTATATCCAGCCTTACAAAGCTACGCTGCAGCCTCGCTTCTTAGTGCCTCTTGGAGCTACGGAAAGGAATATGGCTACTAACTTGATTCCGGGGAGTTTGAAACATTTCTATGAGGTTCGACTGGTCCATGAGCCTCTGTTCATAACTCTAAAGCGCACGTTACCATCCAGCACCCCATGGTGGTTTGATTATTCCTAGTTCATTCTAAAAGCGGCCAGTTTTAAATATTTACAGTAATTTTTTCTGGGATATTTTATGTATAAATCGATTATTCCTTTTATAAAATAAAGAGGCGTATCTTCGCCTATTTTGTTTTAATTTTTGACCTTGAAACATGTTGAACCGTTCCAACGTACCGAATGCTACATGAAATTCAAGGACAGACTTGTGTAGATTAGGTGCAAGACCGAATTTTATTACAAAAATTTAATAAAAACTATCTTCACTGATCAATGGGCCCCCTGTATCCATTGTGATATGTACACCTGTGCGTAAATCACACTAACAGTTTTGTGAACCCTGTAACCGCCGTGTGCATACTTATAATTGTGGAATCCTTCTGGAGTCGTATAAAACGACGCTTGAAAAACGTGACTGGATCAGTTGGCGTTGTCGTATGGAAGCATTTGGATAAAATACAATATCGAATGTGATTTGTTTTTTCCATCCAAACGTTCACTAATGATATTATTACTTATTTATACCATGTTCGCCCTATCATAAGTTTCCTTTTTATGGTGCATTGGGGATAAACGCATAATACTCATTATTAGTCAGTTTCCATTTACGAAAAGGGCTGATAGGGTGCCGGATGATAACCTGAGCCCATGTTGAAACGGTCCCACATGGTTCAAGGTCACAAATTAAAACAATTCAGGCAAAATAAACTTCTTTAATTCATAAGAATAAGCAAAGTATATACTAAAAGATCACAAAAAATAATTAAAATATTTAAAAATGCCCGGTTTTAACATGGGGCAAGAATGAGCAAACCAGAGGAGGGTGACGGATAGTAACGTTGGCCAAGAGAAGTAAGCTAGTACGGAGAGAAGGGTGTGGGGAGCTGGAGTTAGATAAGTGAGGTGAAGGTATTTGAAGTATATGGGATGATATAGTTAATAATAAAGATGGGGGAGTGCGGTGTAGGGAAAGCCCAAGATATAACTACCACCAAGGACTGACGATTCTTTCCTTAGGCTGATTCGAGAAAGGCTACGTCCCACACCCCATCAATCCTTTTTTGAATAGTTCCAACGTCGGCGGAGAGACAACCTTATCAGGAAGTCTAATCCAGTTGTCGACCATTCTATGAGAGGAGTTTGCCCTTTCTTTAATGCACGAGATTTGACCAGCTTCAGATGATGTCCTCTTAGGGTTGGGTTATCACTGAGGGAGAGGGATTGTTTGCTAGGATGTGAGAGTCCCTTCAGTATCTTGAAAACCTCTGTTAGGTCACCCCTCATTCGTTTATGAGATAGAGAGAATAAGTTTAGCTTTCCCAGACGCCCTCGGTACGACATCATTCTCAGGGTAGGAGAATGCCTAGTGAAGTGTCTCTGGACGTGTTCTAGAGCCTTTTGGTTGCACACGAGGTTCGGCGCCCATGCCTACACTCAGTATTCTAGGTGTGGCCACACCAGGGCCTTGTAGAGGGGCCGTAATACAGCAGGGGCCTTCAACACTACCGTTCTTCTCAGCAAGAACAGCCCCTATGAATTCTTTGCCGAGTCAATCTGACACTGTCCTGCGGGCTAGAAGAAACCAAACATCATGATACCCAGGTCCCTGACCTCATCATGGTACACAAAGCAAAGCGAGTGAGAGGGAATCATCTAGGAAGAGCCGCTCCACCCTCACAGTCACTGTTTGAGTCCTGCCTGAACATGTCGGAGCCATATGTTAGTATTACACTATCTGGTACCTGGTTGAGCCACGTGTCAGCTAAGGCTATTGCTTGTGGATTCTTACATCGAGCCAATTGCTTCAGTTTAATGATTTTACTAGTTATACTGAGGCAATTGGTTTATATGCACGTCGTCAGCTGCTCGCTATATATTTCGGTAGATCGATCGAGGTAGTGGGAGCTGTTGGGTGGATTTGAAAGAGGGGGGGCTGTTGGATCCCTTCTTTCCGAGTAGAACATGTTTCTCGGGAGCATTACTTGACGATCAGAGCCGAGTGTTTGGCTCTAAGCTTGGTTTGCCATTTCTCTGGGATTTTATTCATCCTGTGGAAGAGAAGCGTTTGTTGAGAACAGTAAATGAGGCTAGTGTGGCGTATTTTTCCTTGCAGCCCTGTATTCGCCTTTGCTCTGGGAGTGGCCTGGCCTGACGAACGTCGATAAGAGTGGTTTCCGCGAAGGAAGAATGTTTTTTGCTTGACCTTTGGGACGTTTGAAGCTATAGTTTGCGCCGGGATAGGAGCTGATGAGTTGGTGGTCTTGAAGAGTGGGTTACCTCCTGCNNGGGGTGTTTTGGTAGATTAGAGCATCCTGCAGTTGATTGTCCCAAATGTAGTTGGTTCAACTGTAGTTGTCACAGAAGCTGGTGTCGAGAAAGGTGGTGAGTAGTGGGGTGAGTAATGGATTACTGCCGTTTTTCGGGGTGGAGATTTCTGGGATCTTCTTCAAAGGCAGACGCGTGAGCTTAGCTT